GCAGTTACGTGCTCTCAACGTTTTGCACCATATAAGTATGTGGTGATGCTATTGTAGAGGACATTCAGTTTACTGCAGCACAGACTGCCACAGCTGTAGCAGTACAGTAAGATTGGTAACAGAAATGTTTTTGCTAAAAGCAAACGAGTTTTTAATGGTATGAAATGTTGAATAGTCCATAAAGATCGAAGCATGCCATAAACCTCTCCTATTGCAACTTAAATGTGGCTATTCCACGAAAAGGTTCTATTCAAAATTATTTCTAGATTTCTGGCAGCATCCACGAACTTCATAATATAAGATTTTAATGTTGATTTGACCTTATTCTTTATAAATCTTATTTATTGTTGTGGTTGCTACTATTGTTTTTCAAATACAAAGAAATAAAAATGTTTGAATAAGAACCGAAACAGCTCTACTTTTAATCTTTAAAAATAGCTTTCTTGAAACGATTTTTAATAGCGGAATTTAATATGTAAGTTATTTAAAAAGTATATGTAAATAAAGTTTGGTGGCTAAAAATAAAATTTAAACTTGGAATTTAAATGGTCTTGTCATCACTGCGCAATACAACGGTACCAAAATTAGTTTACCAAAAGAAGAAAAAAAAATATGTCTTTTTCACTTTTACAACAAAGAAACACGATGCCGGCTAATCATATTGTTAAGAAGCGTTAAATTGTATGTCAAATGTGAAAAATGCAATGTCAAATTATATCATCGATACCGAATGAATGGTTTCGAACTGTTGCTAAGGCTTTCAACGCAAATATACGTATATAAATGCACTCTGACGTACAAATGTACGAGTGTAAATATAAATACCCTTGTATGTACTGAGTTGTTGTGCTGCAAACTGCTTTGCTTGTTACAACGAAGGCCAATCAGCACGCAGAGCTCAAAGATACATTTATATATTTACATATTTATATATAAATAAATATATGTATGTATGAGCAGTGATTTTCCAATGGACATCATTGGAAATGCCGCATTCACGTCATCGAGATCGGCAGAGTGTATTAATTTTTAATGGCATGCCATAAAACTTAAGATATTATAATAACAACCACTTCACCAACAACAATAACAAACTCAGCAAGAGCTCAAAACTTAATGATGAGCATATTTGTGACGCTGATGATGATAATTTTGTCGTTTTCAGGCCATAATGATCTTTAGACATGATCGATGATTATGTTGGCGCATCATTATGTTGTTATGTTGCTAATAAATAACAACTGACGTTTCCTACACGCTTCTGTACTGGTCACAAAATATGTACATATATATTTACATATGTATACGTATAGTATAAGTATGTATGTATGTATGTAGATATGTACGACTGACTGCTTTAGATTTGTTTCTGTCTGCCCCCAAAGAGCCAAACAATGGCAAATGATGGTTCAGAGTTTACCAAAAACTGCACTCGAGTGAGTAATCTGCGAAAAGAAATCAAAATTTTATCTGACCGAAAGGCGTGCAGCAGCAGCAGCAGCAGCAGCAGCAACAATAGGCCAGTTAGCTAGGCAGAGCCTGAGAGCCAGCCAAGCCAAGTCTAGCAAAAACTCAGTCATCCATTTCAACAACAAGCAAAGCAATAAAGTTGGTTATTCATCTGAGTTAAACGCAGTATATGTACATATTGTGTGTTTTTGGGTCCGCATCTTGTCTGCGTTTCCCAGTTCCCTAGTTCTGCGCTACATTTTTAGTCTTCTTGCTCCTGCTCGATGCTGGTCGCTTGCTGCGAATTGGTGTGTTTGCTGTGTTTGGCCCGTCCATCCATCTGCTTATCGCTGTACCTACAGGTGTGTCTGGAATGCGCTGTACAAGAGACTCTGCTTGTATTTCATACTTATCTACTCGTATTGCTTAATATATACTTGTAATTGCAGGCAAACGCCTTGAGTGCAAGGCTGTGGCGCAGACGCGGGTGAACGCAGCAACTGGTTGAACTTTATTCTTGGCGTAAATTGTTAGGAATCTAGGTGAGTGTAGCGGCTGTTGCACACCTTTAAAAATCGAAATCGAAAACTATGAAACTTTTGGCGTCATAAATTGCGAATATTTTAATGTTAGGCATAAATTTATAAACTTTATCTACATTTTGAAATTAGGTTTTAAGAAAAAACTTGTTGTTTAAAAAAAATATATTATTTAAGGATTTATCTTATCTTCGAAACATACACTCCAATTCTAGATATTCTCACGGAAATTCTCCCTTGCCGACTTAGAAAACTAAACCTAAAGAAAAAAACTATCAATTCTAAATGCACAGGGTGAATGATTTTTTTAAGTAGGATTTTTTCTCTTTCGAAATCAGGTGAATAGTATTGTGGTGTATTATTGACATTTGTTAATGAAAAGAAAATTTAGAAATAAAAATACCTTGGCGCTATATATATTCGGTGATGAAGCAAATGAGAAAGTACGGCAACTCCTCTCTATGCTCCTACAATCTAAGTTTCCTTGCAGGTAACTCTTCCACCGATTATTTCAATGGTTGAATTTCGCTTCTTCAGGTGGTCACAGTTTACGCTCCGCTCTAGGGCCTCCTCCTGTCATGTTTTCTGGCTCAAAAGTTTGAGCCGCACTATTTCTTTTGATGAGCCCACACCTCAAAGCAAAATGGGTATTTAAAAATCCGCCTTTTACTGAAAAAGGAGTTTTACATTCTTCCATTCCACGATAGGGGGTTCACCTTCCCCCCAAATTGATTCCACTCCTCCTTATTACCCATACGAAATCCTTGAGCAACTGCAATTGCACTATCTTCGTTGGTTTTGACTTAAATGAACCATCATTCGATTATTTATGAAAAAAAAAAATATTACTACAATTATTTTTGTTTTATTTATTAAATACTAAAATTTTTTATACAAAATCCAACACAACTTCGAAGTGAAAAAGCACTAGGAGAATATTAAAATATTCCCAAATTTTTTTTACATTGGTGATGTCAACTTTTTCCACTGAGAATTTTCCCCCATTTCCGAAGTTTGTTTTGAAAACGTGGAAAGGCAAAATTTTCACTTTTATGATAGAAGAAGGCGGAAACGTGAGACATCTCCCGGAAATTTTTATTCAGAATAGGGCTGATTGTTTAGCTCATTTTAGCTGAAATGTTGACTTTAAGTAAATACGCTATGATTTCTCTTTAGGCTTGAAATAGAGTGCCCATCCTCGAATATATTTATACCGATCCGGGCAGAATGAGAGCTTGAGTTGACTCAGTCCACTGTCCGACTGTCCGTCCGTCCATCTGTTTGTGTCCAGTTTGCGCTTGAGTTGATTAATTTCAAACAAACTTTATATACGTGCTGGAACATTTTGTTGCGTCGGCCAAAAAGGACCTATTTTGTCATATTTGATATTTTGAGTCATAAGATTATTCAAAAAGCCTTTCAATGCTGGAAATTTGATATTATGTACACATGTGTATAATGCATTCCACATAGGTATAGAACTTATCGGAATAGGAGAACTATAGCATATGGCTCCCATGCGCCGATATGTTCAAATACGCGGTTGTAAATCCTTCAAAAAATAACCAACCGAAATTTCAGTTATAGGAATTGAGCAATTCGAGCTTTTTCGAGAATTTATAATAATTTTCAGCAAATATTGACTTTTTTCTAAAAACTTCTCTCTAAAATTTTAAATATATTTCTGCTAAATGAAAACCTCATTCAAATGTTAAAAATTTTGGAAAAACAAAATTGAAAATTCAAAGGAAGATCTAAGTAGTTGAGCAACGAGCGAGTATCCAGCTCCTCCCACTACTCATTACCCGGGTATCTAGAGCTGTAGTAGAAAGTAATAAGTCAAAAAAGAAGCCAATAGCGATTTATCAATAGATTTAATGCATTATTTCTTTGAACTACAATAAAATTAAATTATATTATATGAATACACATTTTTGTATTCTCACAGCATTTTCGACACCAATACTATGAGAACCAAATTTCGGTTATCTTGAAATTAAGCTCAATCGCTAAAAGCTTAAGCCAAAAAAAAAAGAAGAAATCCCAAAGAAATTGACATTAGTTAAGAATAGCACGCAACAAATGAACAATAACAAAAACAAGTTAGTGAATTTCGTAACGATGATTCTCGAATGGTGTTTTTCGTGTTCCCATCCAGAGTTATCTGCGCCACAATTGCGCCAGCGAACCAATCATTTAATGCATACAAATGTGGGTGAATGGTTTGGTAGCAATTTGCATCCCAGGTAAGTGAGTAGAGGCGAATTAATGCATAAATATTTTCAATATATGCAGATGCAAGCAAGTAGATGTATGTATGACGTTGTATATGTATCAATATGTATGTGTTTGTGCTTACAGTCAAATTATTATTTGCTAATTTGGTGCACAGTTGCGCATCTTAATGAATTTAATTGGCGGTTGGCAAGTGGAAAGGATTGTGGGTATGTATGTAGGAATGTGTGAATATTTGTTTTTAGCTGCTTGGCAAATTTGCTAATTCTGTTTTTGATTTAATTGTTTTATTTTCATTTTTTTTTTAATTTTTTCGTTTGTATTTATGTTTATTTTTGTGTATATTTATACTTTTAATTTATTTGTTTTCTTTATTTTTTTCGTTTATATTAATGTTTATTTTTGTATATAATTATTTTTGAAATTCGCTTTCCATAATTCATTTTGTTATCATTTATGCGCTTACGAAAAAATGTGGATCATCAACTTTTTTTTTGCGAAATTACAAATATATTAATAACGCTAATTAAATATGAGGCGGGATTTGCCACTGCGCACTCTGCGCGCTAACAAATGGAGCTGTAATATTTTTGTGGCAGTTATAAATTAATATAACTGGTTGTAATATTAATGTTTTATTTTCGTAATATGTATTAAAAAATTATTTAACAACAAAATTAGTAAAGATTTTTGTATTATTTTATTTTATTTAATTTTTTTTAAAATTAAGACTTTACATTAAAATAAATCTTATTATATTTAAAATAACCAGTTGGAAGTATATCAGATGCGCTTACTTAAACTAATTTTTTTTTACAAATACTATACAGTTAGAGCTGAATCAACAACTCTTTTTCGTGTTATTTTTTTCTGGTAGAATACTTTCGATTTTCCAAATGAGGAATTCTTTTCGTAACAGTTATAATTGCTTATTCTTTTTTCTCCTCCTTCTCCTCTTTTTCGCCTTTTTGCTTTTCCTCTTTTTCGGACTTTTCAAGTTTCTCTGATTTTTCAGATTTCTCTGACTTTTCAGTCTCTTCTGATTTTTCAGATTTTTCAGGCTTTTCTGACTTCTTTTCATCTTGTTTTTCTACCAATTCGTTCTCTTCCTCCTTCTGTTCTTTTTCTGGTTTTTCTACCTTCTCTACTTGGACTGTTTCTTTGGCCTGTTCTTCTTGCTCTTTGTTTTCTTTTTCTCCTTTCACTTCCTTGCTTTTCTTTTCGCCCTTTACGTCTTTCTCTTCTTCTTCCTGCTTTCCACCTTTAGCTCCTTTTCCTTCTTTCTCCTCTTTTTCAGCTTTTATTTCCTTCTCTTCTTCTTCCTGCTTTCCTCCTTTAGCTCCTTGTCCTTCTTTCTCCTCTTTTTCACCTTTTATTTCCTTCTCTTCATCTTCCTGCTTTCCTCCTTTAGCTCCTTTGCCTTCTTTCTCCTCCTTCGTGCCTTTAACTTCTTTCTCTTCGTCTTCCTGCTTTCCTCCTTTAGCTCCTTTGCCTTCTTTCTCTTCGTCTTCCTGCTTTCCACCTTTGCTCTCCTTTTCTCCTTCCTCATCATTACCTGCCTTATTCGAACGTGCTGAACGTTTCACTTTCTCCGTTCCCTCAGGTTCATTTGGTTGATCTGCCGCCGCCTTTGCAGCTTCAGAAATTTCCGCGGGTATATTAGTACCTACTGGCACGAAACCATTCTTGCCAGCGGTATAATGTACCTCGATCTCTTGTCCGTCGGCGTCAATGTAACGGTAGGAGCCATGAATTTCGAGTGCTTCGTCTTCAGTGCCAGCATTCTCCACGACACCGGCCTCCTGACGTGCACTCTGGTCACCGCCTTCGTAGTTGAAACTGAAAGAACCATCGGGTTTTCTATCAGTCTCGAATTTGAGTAGTGGTATTATTTCACGCTTCTCGGTTGTGGTGTCGATGCCAGCGCCAATGCTAGCCGCAGTAGCGGCACTGATCAAAGCCAATAAGCTCAACTGTAGTGTAATAGACAAGTGAGGGTTGGTGTTAGATAAAATTGTTCACATTATATTGATGAGATGAAAAAAAAATATTCTACAAAAGTCTTTTTTCTAAGAATTCTTTTTATTATTCTAAAAAAGTTTATTATTAAAATGCTGCAAAACTTTTAGCTCATTAATTTTTTTTTGTAAAAAAATATATTTATTTTTATTGCAAAAATATTAATTTTTAGTGCAAAAAACATTTTTTTTTGTTGCGAAGAAATATATTGTTTGTTACAAAAATATTTTTTACTCGTTCGTAGTTTCAAACAAAATAAAGTGAAAACTCCGCAAGCTCAAAACTTACAAATTTGAACATTTTTTATTTTTCGTCAATACTTCAACACTCGTTCAACACGCGACAAAGCTCAGCTTCAAACTTATCTGATTTCTCAAACTTTCGTCACTTTTATACTAAAGAAATGTTAAGAATCATCCGAGTTAGCATCACTTACGCTTGTTTTTGTTTTTTTTTTTTTTTGAGCGAAAAAGCAGATGTTTTTATTTACTCTTATATCTTTATTTTGGTTTAAGTGTCATTTGTTGGTCAGACTCTTCTGACTCACATACAAAGGAGAAGAAATACTGATAATAAGATTGCGAATAATAACCGCTCATTAGTATAGTTGCTTGTTGTCTTTTGTTTTTGTTATTCAGATAACTTATACGTCCAGCGAATGGAACAAAAACATACAAAAACTGGAAAATATGCTCAGAGCGCAAAAGAAAGACTTCTAAAACGAGTATCGTACACTTTTTTAATATTCAGCGACCTATATTTAAATATTTGTCTGTATGTACCATTCCTCAACTATTCGCCAAAAAAATTAAATCGTAAAATTCTAACCTTTTTCAGCCGGCAACAGTTTGCTTAGAAAGTCTTTCACTCTCTCTCTCCGTTGCTTTTTTGCAATTCTCAATTTCTTATCGCACAATTAATTGGCGAATAAGTACTAACCAAATTGTTTTTAATTGGCTTATTTCCAGTTTCGTTAAATTTTTTTAATCATTCTACCTTTTTAGCTTTGGTTGACGCACATAAAAAATATATTCACGTAACCTAATGAAGTGGTGATGATGATGATGATGTTGATGTTGATGATGTTGACTTGCCGTTGCAAACTTGTTTTGTTGAGGTTTTTTAATTTTGTTTGTTTTTAATTTTTATTTTTTTTTATGCTCTTGTATTAATTTTGGACATGGGCGTATCCTTTGTGGGTTCACCCAGTAACTAACTACGACAGATATGGGTTTTATTTAAATGTTTTCGAAATGATGTTCTCGAAGTTTTTGAACCTTACAATCAGTTTTTGCTCTTAACTTCATAAGCCTTTACTTTTAATATTAAAGTTATTTTGCCTATTTTGTAGTGATTGGGATCTGTTCCAAGTATTACAGTGCAGAAGTAGTTGCTCATCATGCTTTCATCCCATAATCATTGGTATCGTCTTTAGAAGTGGCCTAGGTATTGGGGAAGCCACTCTCCTTCTTCCGCGTATTTCGTCAAAAAATCTGGATACAATAAAATATCACTTCCTTTGCCCTCATTTTGGATCTCAAAAATAGATGAAAATAATTCCAATAAAAGGGTGTGGTCCTCGCCGAGTCATGCAATGTTGAAAAAGAAACCTAAACACATGAGGCTCAGAGGTTTGTTGAGTAGGCCATTGCTCAGAAAGTAGCTAAGATTATTCTAAGATCTTTTAAGATCCCTGTTATTCAGAAAAGAATTTAGGTTAGAGGCGAGAACATTTTGGTAAATTCAGTGTAGCATATACCTTAAACACCATTTTCACTACGTCTGTTTTTCCTCAGACTTCAGATCTATCGTAATTCGAATAAATTCTTTTCTAAGTCGAAACCTGCTGGTGACTCAGTATCAATCCGACTTTAAATCTAACAGGAGTTGTATAACAGCGTTAATTATGGTTTGGGATGTCATCAGGCTCGAAATGGACAAAAATCGAGTAACGTTATTAATAATTTTCGACACTGCAGACCACGAACTGCTACTTTTGAGACTGTGTGAAATTTTTTATTTATATTAGAGGTGCTGGCGGCCGCGGTGGGCGAGTGGTTAGCACTGCGCACCTCCATTCGGAAGGCTCGGGTTCAAATCCCCGTGCGACCAACATCCAAAAGTTATAGAAAATTAATTTAAATAAGAAATTAAGTTAAATTTTCTAATTGCGGTTGACCCTCGACAGGGAATGTCAACCGCTTCGTGTGGATTTCTGATATGAAGTACCAAAGTTTCTCAAAAAAAACCATAAGCCGTTCTGATGCAGCTCAGTGTATACTGTAGGTCCCTCCATTAGTTGGAAAAGCATCAATACCGCAAAACCAAAAATTAGAGGAGAAAATAAACAAGGTTTGTCATTATGGACTATTCAACATTTTCTGTCATTAAAAATTCGATTGCTTTTAACAAAAACATTTATGTTACCAATCTTACTGTACGGATGTGAACTGTTGGCAGCTGTGGCAGTCTGTGTTGTAGTAAACTCAATTTGCTCTGCGATAACCGCGCCAGATACTTATATGCTTAACTTAACTTGCTTAGCATGAAATACAGTTGCCTGGTATCTGAACGCCAGTTCTTTGTTTTTGCTGTTCGTCTTTGGAAAGCTCTGCCAGAAAAGATCAAAGCCATTCGAAGCACATTGTGCTCTAAAAATGAACTCCTACATTATTTCACAAAATCAATTGCTCATTTATATATATATTTCAAATCTTGTAAATACTACTTTTTCTCTATTAAATCCATAATCCTTAAAGGGTTTGTCATGTTAAGAGAGAAAAGGACAGTTTTAATGCTATAATATAAATATTCTTATTATAATGCATATATATGTGAACACACAAACATAATAAATAAAACTTGTTGGCTCATTTAATTCGTATTTCATTTATTTAAGGTTTTAATAAAATAAAATAATATGGATTAGTTGGGAAAAATTAACTTTACTCTTCGACGTTCGCACAACTACTGACTCTTCTGTCGTTCATCGTGTTATCTTTAGTACGTTCGGTCAGTCCGGGTTGCCTTTGTGGCAAGGTTTTGCACCTTTCCTACGTATATATATGTAGCTACTAGAATCGAGCTCAAATGCTGTAAAATAACTTACAACTTTTCATGCTAAATGTAATAATGTTAGAAACAGTTGGCAACTCTTATAAAGCATCAGCACGATAATCCGAATATGCTGAATATATTTTATTTAATTCGCTAAAGCTCATTTCTCATGTCTGTCACTTGTACTTCCTGCTTAATAATTATCAATCACATTAACCCAGATGTTCCAGACTTCATACTTTAAAATTACCAATTGAAACCATGGGGAAAGTACAGATCTCCATATTTGCACGAATCTAGATTGGGATCAGGAAACAAGCTGGATGTGTCATATTTCTAAAATTTTCCACAAAAAGGCGTCTGATGAACTATTTAGATATTATTGGTTACAGTTACAGTGCTACACCCAAATTTTTGCACTTTCCAATATGCAATGTGAAAATCTTTTAAGGGGTTCTACGTGTCTACTTTCGTCACTTTTTACCACTGGGTCAGCCAGCTTTAACATGCAACATATGTATATATAAAATAGTTTTGTCACAGTGTTCGACAGGATAATCCTCCGAAACGGCTTTACCGAATTCAATGAAATTTTCTGCACATATTCAGTAGGCCCCAAAATCATCTATTTTTTACACTCTTATTTATTTATTTATTATTATTATTTTATATTTTTTTTTTGATTTTTTGGTCCACTCAATTTTTTTTTGTTTTTTGGATATTTTTTTATTGTTTTATGTGATATTACAAAATACAAATAACCCTAAAATTTCATCTTTCTATAACCAGTTTTAGGTCAAACATTTTTTTATATGTTATTATTCTGCGGTTACGGGTTACAAGCTATTATTAGTAGTTCAAGCATAGATCCGTTTGTCACTTACGTGACGGGCTGGCTTTCAGTAGCGATGATGCTTGATAAGGGGTTGTCCTCTTTCTATGCAATATCAATGAGTATAAATATTCTACAAAATACAGAAAGCCACAACAGCGTTTGGGAGGGTCTGCTAGTTTATATATAAAAATATACTGAAAGTTGTAAGCTTATTAATTATCTAATATATGAAGGCCTTATAATATATACGCAATAATTAATAATTTGTCATAAAGTATTGAGTTGTTAACAACAGTTTGGTCAAAACACTTTAGCTGAAAAATTGCCTTTGGCAAAAGACGAAGAAGAATAGAAAGAAACCTGTTTAAACTATTCTTTTTTTTACCCTTTTCGGATTTACATAAATGTTTTATGAGCATATTTTTATTATTATTACAAAAATAAAATGAAAAAAATAGTAAACAAATAGCAGAATTTTAAAAATAAATTTCTTATCTCATATACCTTAAAGAAGATTAAAGAGTTTGCATGAAAATTTTGGTTACCAAAAATTTGTTAATGATAATAATAATGACCAAGCACCTATGAAACATATACGTAACAATTTGTTGTTACTACATCAATAAAATTCATGGCATACACTTCGTTTAATGCTAAATTAAGCAACGTGGTCTTGCATAATATATTGAAAAGTTTATGATAGCCATATTGTATTTGCTGCTTGTAACGGTACTTGTAACATGTTAGATAAATTGGTATGCGTTCAGTGTGGATCGGCCTTTATTCATTAACTACAATATGTTCCCTGTCTCTTTTAAGCGTGTTCAAAAATGATTGTATTTCATTCTTGAAGTGACTCTAGAATTGGCTAAAAGGTGAATAGCCCATTAAAGACCCATATAGAAACATTTTCATATATTTTTGTTGTTCCCAAAGGTTTCTATTTGGTTTGAAGTAGACATGTTGATAGAACTTGCAAGCCAACTTGACAGCGCCCAGATCGAAAATGCGATAAGAGCGATAATTTATGCGAAATATCGACGAACGAGTTTCATTTCAAATCTTAATTCCATTAATCGCGCTCATTATTATGCAAGCTTTCTTCTAGTTATGCAACCCGGAGTGGCAAATTTTATTCTTCATCACATCACAATTTGTATAGTATTTATTGAAATTTAAATCGCTATCATGATTCGCTCCAGATTTTTTTAGAAAACAATCATTTTTATCACAAATAAAAGTCGATTTTTTTGTTTTTTTTTCGCTCTTCTTTTACTACTTCTTCCAACGGGTGTCGCTGCTTAGTTACACATACAAAAATGGGGACATACTCGTATATATTTGCTTAGACATACATATATATATATAATCTTAAATCGTCGCTTTAATACAAAACATTTCACTTATATATACATATAAAACTTATTTTAATTCTTACACCAAAAGTGTCAATACTCCTGCCGCTCGTGTTTTATATACATACTAACTGACTAATTAGAACCATCACCTGCACGTTCTTTTTCCCTTCACATTTTCTTTTTATGTATTTTTGCTTATAATTTTATTTTTGTTTATTTTCCCAGTTTTTTTTTCAATTATATTTTTTCTTAAACGCTGGCAGATTTCTTTTTTGGCTCTTCCACTTCTTCCTTTGGCAAATCCTTGGCGGCCTCAGCAACAGCCGAAATTTCTGGATTGATGATCGAACCGTATGGCACGAAACCATTTTTGCCCGCTGTGTAGAAGACCTCCACTTCGTCGCCATCTTCATTGATATATTTGTAGGAGCCCTTAACTTCGAGTGCTTCATCTTCGGTACCCTCATCGACTACGCTAGCTTCCTCTTTGCGCACGGTACCGTCACCACCTTCGTAGTGTAAATCGTACGAACCATCATCGTGTTTGTTGATTTCCGATTTCAAAATTGGTACTACTTCACGTTCGACTTGTGGTTCGGCGGTTGGTGCAGCGGAGACGGCAGCGATGGTGAGACAAGCGAAAACAAATAGCTGCAAGAGAGATTGAGTTGAGTAAGAAATATGACTTTTTTTAAGATATCTCAAGTATTCCCTAAATATGCTCATATATTATATGATCAAATTGATCAAATTGACGTTCATGTGTTCAACTGTGTAAGATCTGAATTTATATCAAAAATTTGCCGCTCAGCGGTTATGTATAATGTCATTCTATATATTTCTATATTACTTCATGATATATTACATATACTATTTTTTTTTTTAAATAAACATAAAAAAATTTGCGAGTGGCAACCGCTGAAGCGACTCTCAACAGAGCTCCCTCACCAACTTGTGGTGTGTGTCTTAATATGTTTCAAGCATAGAAGAGACCTAACGCGCCTCCGAATAACTGATCACTTTTCAATAAGAGATTGTATTTTTCAGGAAGAAATACGATCAGATGGATTAACGAGGGGCACCCGAAATTGGAAAAATTATTTTTTTACGAATTCGGATGTTTGGTCTAAATCGTTCAGAGCTCGAACTTTTCACCAACCATATGAATGAACACACTGTTAACCAGTCGGCTACTGCAATGAGCTATGGGTTTAATTTAGTTAAAAGCAAATAAGTTGTGACGGTAAAGGTATTGTTGTCGGATAAAATTCAAATCCTTTTAACTCCATCCTATGAATTGTATGGGGATTCCGCAAACTGCTCTGGATTAATCGTATAGTCAAAATGTGGGTACGGACGGACCTGCAGTCAGATGTGGCTAAATCGATTTGTATTGTCCTTACAAGAAATTTGACTTAAATACATACATGCATAATCTGTCTGCCATTTGGAAGGCCAGGGGTTGACTCTTGGTACGACTAACAACCAAAAATTATGGAAAATTATTTTAAATAAAAACAAAATAAGCTTTCAGCTATTCGGAGGCGGTTTAAAAAGAACTGTAGATCTCTCCGTTTGTTGGAAAAACATCAAGACGCGCTCCATAAATTGAAGGGCGAGCTCAGTCGAAGATATTGAAGATCGTGTTTGTCAAAAGAACAATTTTTAGCCGAGTAAACCAATTGAATCTCTGTAAAGCCGAGTAGAAGAAGCTTAATTATAGCTTTGCCTTTTAACACTGAAAATATAGTAGAACAGTTGATAGAGATGAATAAAGTGACTGCGAAAAAGAAAACAGAACTATAAGTTCGACGAACTCAAACTATTTTTTCGGATCGCGTCTACTAAACAAGTTTCTTTTGCTTTCTCTAATTTTCTTTATTAAGGCGATGCTACTACAGAGCTTGGACCATACTCATGAAACAAAAATTGGTATAATCTGTAGCAAACAAATTTTTCATGAAGAACAATCTTGTGAGATAGAGTAACATGGCCTAACCTGGATCAGCTTAAATAACATGTGAAAACAAAAAATTTGGGTTCCGGTTTTAAAAAGCTGTAACCAAGGTTTGTCCATTCCTCGTCGTTCTTTCGAATTGGTCATTCCGCAAACGTCATTATACCATATTTTGTATAAAAACTTTAGCCTTGAGGGTTATCAAGTTCATTATTATACGGAATTTCGGCGAAAAATCATTCTGACTGACGCAGCCCATTTTTACCTCGATGGCTACGTTAATAAGCAAAACTTTCCCATCTGGGGATCGAAAAATCCAAGATTTATTATTAAAAAGTCTCTCCATCTGCAATGTGTAATTGTTTGGTTCCGTTTATCTTCAGGCGAGCTCACGAGATCTTTCTGTTTCGAAGATGAGACTAGAGCAACTGTTAGGGTGAATGTATTGCGCTATCGTGAGATGATTAATGATTTTTTATGACCGGAATGGGATGGTATAGATCTGGACAATGTTTACTTTCAACATGATCGCGCTACGTACCCACGCTATCAATATTTTAAAGGAAAGATTTCAAAACGTATTACCTCTCGTATATATATTTATATATGTAATTGGCGCTTTATAACCGCTGAAGCGATTTTCGGCCAATTTGTGTTTTACGTCTTAATTTTTTTCCATAAAATGGAGAGACCTTCAATTCATAATAAGCCGCCTCTGAACGGCTGATGCTTTTTCATGAGGAGCTTTATTTCATGTCAGAATTCTCGTAGGAGTGATTAGAATTGGCCACCGAGATCTTGTGATTTTCTTTGCGCCCAAGTTAATATCTGCGTCAACAAGCCAACAAACAAATAAATATGGAGTTCGTGAAGCTACTGAGGGCATAAAACAGCGCTTTTGCGGTTTAGTGATGAAAAATTTCTTGAAAAGAATACGGATCTGTAAGTGGAGACATGGCGGCCGTTCAGTAGATGTTATTTTCCATTATTAATGGAGGAAGTTATTCCTTATTACATTGAAATAAACACCAGATCATTTATCCCAAAAAAAATTTAATTCTTTTCTGAATATCTGAATATTTGCTCAAGGAACTGTGTGACGGCTTTGTAGTATTAAACATAGAGCCTTTCTTTGTTCATTACCAAAGCCAATTTGTAGAAGGTGAAGTTGTCACATCCTATGGTTGCTTCTTCTTCTTTTAATTTCAATAAATTACATAAACAAAATACGAGGGATTTTTGTTTTTGTATTCCTGCTATTACCGTATGTAAACTTGCCTTGGTTGATACCAGAAATCTTACCAACATGAACATTGATTTTTTGCATTTTGAGCAGATATACTTGTATATATTTATATGTCAATATTCGATTAAAGTTTGAAAATGATCGAAATTTAAAAATTTATGTGATATAAAATATATAAATTAATGTTCTATTGATGGAATTGTTCAAAAGTTGACAGTTGAAATATTTTTAACACGGCTAAACGAGGGTGGAGGAAGGAAAAAGAGCTCCCTGTTTAGTTAGCTTGGCTTGAGCTTCGTACAGTGTCGCGTACGGAATACAAAACTTTTTTAACAAACTTGTCACAGACTTCTATGCATAAAGCACTTGTAATTCGACTTGATATTTCTGTAGGGAATATGATTAAACGGCAATTACATTTTTTATTTAATTACGAAATTGTAATTAAACTGTCCCCAATTGTTTTCTAAAGACATAATTTTTGTATTAATTTTTTTGTTTATTAATATTTACGTAAAAATGAAAACTAAAATTGTAATGATGAATGCAAATAAAAAAAATTGCCTTGTTTTGAAAAAACCTCAATTAAACAAAAAAATTTTACGATTGCTTGGAAAAAATACGATAATAACACCAATAGTTATTAAAAATAAATAAAAAAAAACATATTACGCCTTTGTCGTTTACAACAACGATAAAAATTTTAATCCACACAGTATGTACTGTTAACCTTTTACTACTTTTTTACGGGTTTTAGGGAAGATTTCTTATTAACACATTAAATCTCATTAAATTACATTAAAAATTGCTTTATTTTAAATTAGACTTCCTTTTAAATTCATTGGTTATTTAATATTAAAGTCTTAGTAATATTTTTTTTTTCATTTATACACTCCAGTCACTTTATTCTAATTTCTGTTAATTGACTTTTGTTAAATTTATCGCATAATCCATAATTTTTTCTTTTCAAATATTTCACTCAATCAATTTTGCACATTCACAGCTGGGAAACAAATTTTCTGTAAACCCTAAAAACTTACAATTTTAACCATTTTGAATTTTTAAAGTTTTTTTTTTTTGTTGAATTAGAAAGAACTTAAAAATGTGAAACAAAAGCGAGAGTGCGAAATAGAAAAAACTGTGATGAACCCAAAACCAATAATGTTAGCTATTTGCCCGAAGCAACAGGTTTTTATACTAATTTTATAAAATTGCACGAAATTATTTAAATATGCAAAACATGTTTCACATCCTGTTTTTTATTTTAGATTTTTAAGTCGAAAACTCAATGCTTTGGCTGTTCCCCTCTGCCATTTGGCTGCGTTGCTACGCTAGACGCTTTTTGGCCAGCGCAACATTGCTTGTTTGCTGCTTTGACAGAATATTAACTGTAAAATTAGAAGAAAAAAGCCATTCACTCTTATAAGTATATATCTGTAAAAAAAAGAAAGCAGAAAAAATTAGCACAGAAAGATTTTGTATAAAACTGCGACACTCCATTTATCTATATTTGTATTCATAATTGCTTTTGCACATTTTTAAATGTCAGGGTCAAATAATTAAAGCAGACAATTGTCTTTTACACAGCACAGCAGTAACCATTGACAATCCATACATACATACATCGTTTATGTAGACAGAAGAAATTAGGAAAGACACCATCCTCACTCACGCTTTGGGTGCGATTTCGCCGGTCTTGCCTTAGATGTGCGCTTCAAAAAAAAAAATCCAATTACTTGTATGACCAATTTTGGCAACAACAACAAAGAAGAAGAACGCTGAGAAGCGCATGTGTATATACATACATACCTATGCATGTCGTGTAAACATGTGTAGTGACATTGTATGTATATACATACCCATTTATTTGTCTGTTGTAGCGCCATACCACAACGGAGTATACTCAACTCGTCTGTATACGTTCCTATATCCACCTGCATACCCAACAAACCACAAAAAAACATACTTATATATTTTTTTACAGCTTCTAAGATTAATCATAGAACTCTTAGAAGTTATAGAAACATATTGATTTACAAAATTATTCTTCAACAATATTCTAACCTAAAAGCAAAATAGTTTTTATTGCTTATTCCAATTTGAACAGATTTGACTACTTCTATGATATATGGACAAGGAAATTTGTAGTCGTCTAATCTTGCTGAGCTCCCATAACCTTAATTGTTTGTAGGAATTCATTGTCATCAAAAGCATATACAACCATATTTTGTATCAGCCCTGCCTGTGCCCTCTGCGCTTTCCTTTGAAGACACCAAGTGTACCCAGACTCTTCTCCAAGTGATCTTTTTAACATAGTGAAGGTTTTCCTTCTACCGTTCAAAACTTTCAAACATTCTTTACTTTTATTTACTCGAAACTTTGTCAATGTTGCCGTATAACAAACAGTTCATCCTTCCATAGTCTACAGTATTTGCTGTTACCATTCTGCGAAGGACCATACATTATTCACAAAACTTTTCTCTCGAAAACTCCGCAATGCCACTCATCGGATGTCGACATCATTAACGCTGCTGCACCAAAAAACAGGACGGGAATGAGAGCGAGTTGTAGAGTTTGGCCTTCGTTTGTCGAAAGCAAACTTTACCTTCAATTGTCTACTATACTCAGTATAAAGTAAATTTCCATGCTGATATTATTATTGGAGCTTATAGTGGTTCCAAGTTAGACGTACGTTCCAAGGCACGAATGCGCTAACTGTTTGCTTAATGACAGGAGATATTTCGTGTTGTCTTTGTTCTCAATCATACCCATTCAACTTGATTCCATGCAACGTTCCGTTTCAAAGCAAAGTTGTTAAGATCCAATAAGTTCCTTGGCGACTGGTTATATTGCGCGACTTTGGAGAGGGTTATCCTAGGATTATTGGCGTAGAATGTGGGGACCGTTTTTGTGAATTAAACAGAGCAGTACTAGATTCAAATAGATGAGCATACTTTTGTCCGCCGAAAACCAGCTGCAATTATAAAGAGACAGCAACCTTCAATGAGTGATCCATCTATATTTGACCACCATGGCTAGTTGATATATAATATAAGTTTTTAGTAACTTCTCATAGTTTTCGAGTATAGATCGCACCGCTACTTCCTTACATTGCATAATTTTATTGTTTCATAAATAAATATTCCACACGATTATCTAATATTTCCTCGATTTTTGCACAAAAAACGCATACTCCACTGGTTCTCAAGATAATATTGAATGCCTTGTTGGATTTTCTACCTACCGCATTCGACACTTTGACGGAAATCATTTCTAGTTATTACCCAAGACCTTACGATCGCTGCAAAAGTTTTGAGATTAGGTTTAGTAAGTTTTAAATTTAAATTTAAAAATCTCAAAATCATTTCCTTTTTTGGTTTTCTCAACAGGGTGGGAGATTTATAAACCCAGAATTAACATTGAGAAAATATTGAGTGATTTAAAGCTTTTCGGTTGATGTATGTTCTATTTTGAATAATATTTAAAAGATCAACATAATATTTGAGGAGTAAGCTACTCCTAAGCTTATACCAAGTGGAACTCAAACTTTATTGTTTGCTGGACTTTTCACATACCCGAAAATGTCTGTATATATGTACAAATACATACATACATGTCTTTATGCGAAAAGACTCATATGCATCGTCGCTTTACTTGTCACTTGTCGGACGTTAATCGCCTGTGCTCATCTTGATCTTCTTGTCGTGTTGAAGCGCCGTCGCCCCACCTTCGTCGGATTCTATTTCCTTCTCCTCCTGCCGCCTTGTACTGCTTCACAGCTTGGCCGTCTTCCAAGAGATTTATCTGCGATTGATGTGTCTCGAATAAAGCGCGTCTTTGTCAGCTACGTGTGAGGCTTACTAATTCTTTTTCGGCAGATCATTAAATGCGATATTTCGCCGCGGTTATGGCCAAGGTGGGGCATGCGCCGGCGCACTTCAGCTAGCAAGCGAAGAGGTGCAAAACGCGCTCTAATGAAAGCTAAAAAAAAATAATAATTGAAGTTTTATGATTCCGCTAAGCTTTTATTCGTGTGTTCTACATCGTAAAGATTAAGTGATTAAACAGCGCGCTGCGCGTATGAATTGAGCTAAAGTTTGTTGGAGCAGGAAGCTTCAAATATTTTATTGTCACTATAGATTGCGCGCTGCCGCCAGTTGAATTGGGTGTGTTATGTAATGTGGATATATGTATGCAAGAAGAAGCGAAGTTAGTGTATTCGGAATGCAAAGAATTTGTTTTTGGATAGACTTATGTAAAAAAAAAAATATTTTTTTTAAATTAGATAAGATTAGATTTTATTTCTTTTTTCTTTAATCCAATTGATCATTTCAATCGATCCAATCGATAAGAGATCCGGTCGAAGATGACTTGATAAGAAAGTAAGAAGTTTTTCTTTGATTGTTCATTGAAAACAGAGCAATGGCTCTTGAACCTTAAGCAGAGCAGCCAAAGATTCGCTCATCAGATCTTGGTGAGTTCATTGGGAGAAACCCGAAGAGTGTCAAGGTTCATCTCTGCTTAGCGAAGTGAACAAAACAATATTTTTCGTCAGTAGGTAATGGCCTTACTAGAAGAGGTGTCGCTTTAGAGACTTAATTTAGAAATGAAAAAGTCTATTATTTTGTAAAAAAAAAATACCTTTAAAAGTGTAGTACTCCCTTAGTAAACATCGAGGCAGAAATTCACTGGTTATTCAGAAAATTTACCCATATAAAGTAAAACATTTTTAAGAACAGATTGGTTTCGGCTACATTTTTAACACTTCCCAAAAGGGCTCCTTCGCAAACCCTTATCCAGACCCAATTGTGCACCAGATAGTAAGTTTCTTTTTTGTTGAATACCCTATCTGATATTATCTGAAGATTCTTGGAGTTCGACTATGATGATTTTTAGCGGATCCCCCGAGTGAGAAATGTGCCTTGACTGAGAGGAAAATTTTGTTCAAAAAATTCCCGTCCGCTGTTTGTTATTCAAGCACTCATTCGACGTATGTACGGCATTGTGAATGGTGAACTGACTGCAGTTATTGCGTGAGCTGGATGTAACGAGGTTGTGAGTGTAGATCCAAGTGTTAAACAAGAAAGTTTCAGCTGTTGAGAACGTCGGAACGTAGACTCATTCCTCAACTATATTTTCATTTCCGCAGCACTCCTGGCGGCAGTTTTTTAAATCGATTTTCTAGAAGAAGTGTTGGGAGACAAAGACGTCATTGGATTGTTATTAATTTTTTCTTCTTTTCATCATATTGCGTCTTTAGTTTTTTTTCATCAACTGGTGGATTTTTGCATCAGTCGAACGGTAAACTAGGCATCTGTGATGGAAGTGTCGCGGTCTTTGGATCAACAACCTGATTCCGCTATTTGTTAAACTTTTCCAGTTTTCATTTCGGCTTTCTACTCTGTTGATGATATTGTTTCTCCAGCTGTTAACTACAAGCTTTTCGTTATCAATGTCATGTCAGCTATGTCTGAATGTAGTAAGACGAGAAGCATACTGACTTTCAGTTGGCTGTCCGTTGAAGTTAATAATGTTAGAAAAATGGTCAGAAATGAAGTCATCATTGATTTCAGCAAATACCAAGTTCCTACCTTCATATTTAGTGGCTGCAAAGTCCCTTAGATCAGGGGAGTTTTCTTTTTGGTCTGTCCACCAGTAAGTTGGTAGAGTTGAGGAGACGAAATTTGTCGGCTTTTGGAATCTTATGACCCTATTCTAAAACTGTCGACCTCATGATTCTTGGGAGATTCAATGAATTTTCATTGCATTATAATATCCTCTAGCCTTAGAAAAAACTTCAGTTCCTTCCATTTGTTAAACAAACATCATGATACACACCACAAATTGTAGAAAGGGTTTGGCCGAAAATCCCTTCAGCCCTCTTAAATGTGCGTTTTATTAGTTAGCCTCGGCAATCTGTATTTTCCAATTGCAGTCGCCTCTCGGCAGGGATTGTATTTTTTACATGAAATAAAAATGTCCTCAGAAAAATCCATCAGTCGTTCGGAGGCGGCTAAGTATAAATGGCAGATCCTTCCGTCGGTTGGAAAAACATCAAATGCAAAACCACAAATTGCAGGAGGAGCTGGGCCAAACATAGCTTCAGCGGTTACCTTATCGCCAATTATATAATAATCCGGACACGATTA